GTCGACGTACGTAACCACACCATGCATGAGATCCACCTTTACATTAGTAAAATAGCGATGCTACAATCTCTCCTTTATTTTTCTTGTAATGAGAGAGAGTCAAATGTATAATATATATGTATAGTGTTTCTTTTTTTTTTATATAGAGCTAGTGGATTTTTGAACAGAAATCCAAAATTATATATTGGATACGTAAAATAGTAGCTTAACAATATTTTTCAGTGAAAGTAGCTTACTACATTAGGAATATTTTGGATTAGTGGAATCTTAAATCGAGTTTGCGTATTATGTTTACAATGAAAATTTTGTTGAGAAAATGATATATCATGATCTCTAACCTAAGGAGATTATCAAATTTTCGAAAAAAAAAAACACGTGTGAAACAAATGACCAGAGCTCATAAATAAGTATTAGGAAAAAATCATTATATTACTAAAAAAGATATTATAGAATTTAACTAAATGTTCATAACATATTTTCTACTTTGTTTTTACTTTTAATTTGTTCTTTCTTAGAATATGGGAGCCTCTAATTAATTTTAACAAAACAAAAAAAAAACTGTGGTTCCTCTTTGTGAAAGGGACTTTGAATACCTTTCGGTTTGAAAAAGACAAATCTGTTATATGCCAAATCGTCTCAATTTACTTTTCGTGACTCCTTACATCAGTTTCACATTATTAAAGTTTTTAAAGTTTCAGTTTTTCTTCTGCCATTTATATGCAGCTACGAATTATAAACGTAACACATAATAAAAATTATGTTAAATACCAAAAAAAAAAAATTCATCAAAATATACGAAATTGCTATATCAAAAATTCAAAAATTATAAACGTAGAACTTTAAGCTTAACACAAAATTCATCAAAGTTCTTTAAAAAAAAAAAAAATTTAATAACCAAAAGTTCTAAACATCACACATCACAGAGTTTTCTCTAAACTTCTAGATTAGATCGATTTGTTCAAAGATAAGTTTATTTATTTTTTCTCTTTTTTCTGTGTCTTCTTCGGTTAATTAAAGTACATATATAGCATATTGTTTAGTTCTTACAACTAGATTTTAGATTTGTTGATATTAGTTTATAAACACTTTTTGAGAAATAAAAAAAAGTCTCATAGCTCGCCTAGCTAGTTGAAAGAAGATTAGATAAAATCATGTGAAAGAAAAGATGATCTCCCTTAAACGTGAAGATATCTAAAAGACAAAGCATAATTCTCAAATGTAATTCCGAAGCAACGTGTTTCACTTATGGAAAAACTTCCCTACCCCTTTGGAAAATATATACTTAAGTGATCACTTTTGATCATCATAAAATCAAAAACTCACCCTTACGTAAATATCATATCGTGTAAATGTTTATCATTATTATTTCGTATACTCCTCACTATCCTAAAGGCTATTTTTTGTTTTTCTAGAGGTTTCACTAGAAATTATTAGAACCATCAACGTTTGTACCATATATGGATCGGAGTGGATATCCGATTTATTTAAAATTAGTATTTGTATTACTTTTTATTTTAGATCGGTAATCAATATTGTTTTGCTTTGAATAATTATGAATATTCAGATTTTTTGGATTAAATCGAGGCGAACACCTAATCGAAACGGATTTAACATATAATGTTATCAGTCCTCTGTACACAAGTATGGATATATAACAAAGACCAATACATGCATGGGGG